ATATGGCCCTTGCAGTATCCTAATGGTCACATGATTCAGATGCTTGGCAACTGACTTGTATTTCTGACAGTTGCGCTGTCCCAGGGTCCCCTTTTGCGAACTTCTGATGAGCAAAGTCAATGTGGAAGCCAAATTCATTTAACAACCATATAACATACTTAACAACTGCAGTGATTCGCTTAACAACTATGGCAAGAAAGGTCGTAAAATGGGGCAAAACTAGGGCTGTGCAACAACTTTGAAGCTGATGTTCCAGTGTCAGCTTTGGAAGTCATATTGAGACCGGATGTTCCCACGCTGGCACATTTTGAGCCTGTGAAAGTGGGAGGGGGGAATTTCTTGGAGTGTATGTAGTTAGACATAATAACATTCTTTTTCTAATTCAAGGTCATGCTATTTTGCACATAAGTGAGGGGAAGTCTCAAGTTGGGATGGATGGTGATTGGGGCATGTGATGTCATGATGGGTGCAGGGGGTGGATTTGTAGTTTTTACTTATTGCAAGGAAGCCTGGAACTTTCAGATTCGGGATTCCCCAGTTGTGCCAGTTTACTATCCAAAAAAAAAAAAAAAAAGAACTTTTGAGAAATTGTCTGTCTCAGAGTTATTGGTTGGAATGGAGGTTTGCTGGAATGCTGACATCCAGAATGTGCGGGAACACGAATGAAGCATCTCTTTTGTGTAATGTATGACCCCAATTGAACCCTAAATTTCTGTTTCTATGTGAAACAGTGGTGAAGGGAATTTTGCCCCATTATGACTTTTCTTGCCACTGTTGTTAAGTGATTAAATTAAATCTGGTGATTAAATTAATAACACGGTTGTTAAGTAAATCTGGCTACCCCATTGACTTTACTTTGTCAGAAGATTCCCAAAAGGCGATCACATGATCCTGGGACACTGCAACCATCAAAAATATGAGCCAGTTGCCAAGCATCCAAATTTTGATCACCTGGTCACGGGAGTGCTGCAGTGATTGCAAGCGTGAAAAACGGTCATAAGTCACTTTTTTCAGAGTCACTGTAACTTCAAATGGTCCCTAAAGGAACCGTTGTAAGTCAAGGACTACCTGTACATCTGAACCAGGCTAAGGAGTGTTCTAGTACAACAGTCGACTTGATGGCAATATTGGTACAATCCCCATCCTAATACACAAATGAATAATTGATTTTAGCCAGAGGTTAGATCAAGGGTGTTAAACTCTATTTCATTGAGGGCTACATCAGGGTTGTGATTGACCTCGGGGGTCTGGGGTCGGTATGGCCAGGGAGGTTGTGGCCAGTCACTCATGTTGGGGGGCACTTGCGGTAGCCTGACCATTCTGCCAGTGAAAGCAGGCTCCTGAGCTCCATTTTTGGCTGGGATGGCCTCTTGCAACCCTCTGCCAGCAAAAATGGAGCTTAAGAGAATCCTCCCAAGCTCCGTTTTCTCTGGCAGATGGTTGCAGGAGGCCCTCCCAGCCGAAAATGGAGCTCAGGAGAGCTGCACATGACCCTCCCGAGCTCCATTTTCGCTGGCAGAGGCACCACAGGCTAATCCTTTGTTGTTTCCAGGGTGGCCCCACGGGCCAGTTTTAAGCACCCTGTGGGCCAGATCTGGCCCAGGGGCCTTGAGTTTGACACCCCTGGGTTAGTTGAACTATGTATGTTTCTTCAGAGATCTTTCACTTCCATTGAGTTGTGTTTCTCGGGGGGGGGGGGGGGGTTATAGGGGGGGGATGGAGAAAGAGGAGGTTATTGAAGCAGCTGCAAAGGAACAGCCTGATTTATCTTGTACCCGTGGCCACTGAATTATTCAATTGTACTATATATTTTCTCTCTTCCCTTCTAGGAGTGTATTTCTTCTCCTTCAATATGATGAAGCATGAAGATGTCGAAGAAGTCTATGTTTACTTGATGCATAATGGCAACACGGTCTTCAGCTTATACAGGTGGGTGGGGTGTATTGGGGGCTTACAAATATGTGAAATAAATTTGGGAGAAGAACTGAAACGCAGGGATAGAGCACATGATCTGCCTTCCAATGGTGTCAGCTTCAGTTCCTAAGACAGGAGTCCCCAACTCCCGGGCTGCAGCCTGTTTGAAACCAGGCCACACAAAGTTCCACTCACATGTGTGGTGGGCCCTTGCACTCGCGTGCAAAGCTCCATTCGTGCCCCCCACTTGTGCAAGTGGAGATTTGTGTGTGAACACTAGCACCTTCTGCTCACATGGCGAGTGCCTGCCATTCACACACACACACACGCTGGGCCGCCAAGGTGGAAAGACCGCTGCCCTAAGACCTCCAATTTTAAAAAGCAATAGGTTATGGGTATGGAGAGAAACCACTAGGGAAAGCTGCTATCCCTTAGCATAGATTACCTGGCTAAGAATTAGGAGCGCCGGTCTTCCGGTGGAGTCTTTTTCATTGACGGACTGAAGACCGCGATCATGCGCGGCTACAATCCGTGCTCTCTCGTCGGAGGGCTCCGAACATCTATTTTTGAGGCCAGAACCACCCTGTAGGGGTGGTGAAGAAGGGGGAGACTGACAGCTGGGTTGAGGGGGGGGATGCATCTCCTCTCCCTGGCTAGGCATACTCCCCTCCGAAGACGGGTTGTAGCGGTGGTGAAATAAGGCCACCCTGAAGAAGAAGAGCTAACCAGGACAAAGATTGTGCTGGACCAGTGAAGAAGATGACAGTGTGAAAACCAGGCTAACCAGGCGCAACTTCTGGAAATAAAGGTATCCCGGAATTAAGATCTTAAGAAACAAGACAGTTGCTAAATGAGGACTACCCAGTAGTGAGATCCTACCTTAGTCACTACCAGTTTGGTGGCACACACCCCTAACAAGCCAATCAGCTGAGAGGATGAAGAAACGAAAATCTAGGAGTGACCCTCACACCCTCCCATGCGCTTTTTGGTCTTTTATTCTCTCAGCTGATCCTTGGAGGCTTGTTTTCCTCCTCTCAGCTGATCAGCACCTCTTTTATTTTACTAGCGGTTTGGCTGAACCGGTCCGAACTGGTAGCATACCACCACTGGGACTACCTCTAGGGATTGCAACAATGCTTGTAGAAGGTTTGTGAAGAACAAACCAGTTTACTTTTTTGTCTCTCTGTTCTTAGCTTCGAATCCAAAGGAAAATCAGACTCGTCCAGCAATAGCGCAGTGCTTAAACTCGCCAAAGGAGATGAAGTGTGGCTGCGGATGGGCAATGGGGCCCTGCATGGAGATCACCAACGATTTTCCACTTTTGCTGGGTTCCTTCTTTTTGAAACCAAATAGATTTACTCCCTGGAAATGCAGTACAAAATTGCAACACAGTTTCCCTCCCCTTTGGATTTGCATAGGTAGCCCTCGACTTACAACAGTTTGTTTAGTGACTGATCGAAGTTACAACATCAGCAAAAAAAGTGTCTTATGACCATTTTTCATACTTATGATGCTTGGAGCATCTTCATGGTCACGTGATCAAAATTCGACTAGTTGGCAGTTGACTCGTATTTATGACAGTTAATGTCCTGGGTTCATAGGATCACCTTTTGCGACCTTCTGACAAGCAACGTCAATGGGGAAGCCAGATTCACTTAACAACGGTGTCAGGAAAGGTCGTAAAATAGGGCAAAACTCACTTAACAAATGTCTCACTTAGCAACATAAGTCTTGGGCTCAATTGTGGTTGTAAGTCGAGGACTACCTGTACTAAAATCCCAGGATCTTTCTTGACACCAGTATGTTGTGAATTATGAAACGTGGTAAGAAGAGGTTAGGCCTGAATTTATATATGCCCTTTTAATGACATTTTGCATCCTACCGCACATTCTTCCTTCCTTGCTAATGGATACCAAACAGTTACCAAACGCCTATTCCTGGTAATTTAATAGAATTATGATTGTAGCCTTTTCTTTTTCCATTCTAAACCAGCAATTTTCTTCTAATCTTGGGCACTAATGGATGTTGCATGTTACAAAACATTCAAACGGCATGTCATTGTGTCTGTGAGTCATATGTGTATTTGGAAACTCGTGTATTTTTAAATACAAAAGTATAGGTAGTTCTCAACCTACAGCTATTCCTTTAGTGAGTGTTTGAAGTCACAAAAGGAGAGAAAAAGGTGATTTATAACCAGTCCTGGCACTTATGACTATGTCTTCAGTTATGTGATCAAAACGTGGGTGCCAAGGAAACCAGTAGATCTTGTGTTTCCACAAAAATAAGACCTATCCAGAAAATAAACCCTAGCTTGCTTTTTACATGTGTGCCCAATATAATCCCTACCCCCCCCACCAAAATAAGCCTTAGTTAAGTCCCCATCCACTCCAGGGTGCATGGGTTGGGGCGAGTGCATGGGTAAAAATCAAGCTAAGTTGAAGGTGGAGGGATAGAGCTGCCCTACCGGTACTTACCTTCAGTCAGTTGCAGCCAGGCCTCGCACAACCCGACACTTGCCACACCTTGCCAGCTCACTCCTTCTGCACTTGTGCATCAATCCAGAGCTCTTTTATTGGCTGCAGAGGTCTTTGCTGAAGGCCTCTGAGGGAAATGGAGGTCAAGGGTGATGCGCGCAAGCGGGGGCAAGTGGTCGCAGAAGAAGTAGGCCGGCAACGGGCTCTTGCTGGGCAGGGCTGTTAGCGCTGCCACTGCAAGATGAGTCAGTGGAAGACATTCCCCAAAAATAAGACCTGGTGCCTTTTTTGGTGGCAAAAAAATATAAGACTGGGTCTTATTTTCAGGGAAATATGGGTGTTTATGACAATGGCAACATCCTGGAGTCACATGATTGCCATTTGCAACCTTGCCTGCCAGTTCTGACAAGCAAAGACAATGAAGGAAGCTGGATTTGCTTAACAACTGCATGATTCACTTAAAAATGGCAATGATTTGCTTAGCAACCATTGCAAAAAGGGTAATAAAATTGGGTGTGGCTCACTTAACAACCACCTTGCTCAGGAACACAAATTCTGGTCCCAGTTGTCAGTTGAGGATAACATGGGGATATGCTTACACTATATATGCATACATACTGGTATATAAAAACAGAGAGAAACACACATTGGAAGGAGACTAGCTGCACTTTTTCAGACAGCTTTATGAAAAAAACAAAAACAAAAGCTTTCCAGATTAATCCAGTAAATCTTGATTATTGTTAGCAAGCAACTCTTAAAATACCAAACAACTGTGAGATGTTTAACTTTTGGTTTAAATAATGCATTTACATTTTTGAACGTGGTAAAATTTTAAACTAGGTAAAATTGAATTGTTGGCTTCAAACATACACAACAATCTCAAAATGTGCATATTTGTGTATTCTGTGGCAAATGATGTGTATCCTGCTTTGGGCACATTTCGCTTTGGCTGAAGATTTGCAATGGATTTGCTAATATCCACTTCTGCTCAATCTTTGAAAAATAAATCTATCAGTTTTAGGGTTGATTTTTATTTTCATCCTGTGTGAAAGTATGTTTAGGAAATAAGCTGAGAAAAGAAGATTCTGGTAAATTACCCATTGGACAGCAGCAAAGTATAGTCTTTTTGAAGCTGGTAGGCTATATATTACAATACTTCATCTTTTACAAACATTTAATATACATTGGTGCATTGAATACTTTAGACTTAGCAGGAGTTGTAATCTGTAGTGAATGTCATTAAAAAAATGTAGCCTTGTTTAGAATGCACCAAAGAAGAATGTACACTGTTTAAAGTATATTAGCAAGATGAAGGTATGATTTCAAAATGTAGTTTTACTCTCATCTTCATTTAATAATAATCTACTATGACCCCTGTTCTTAATATGAATGCCCTTTACATTTAGTTATTAGAAATGTGTTTCAAGCATCTGGTTATTTTGTGCAGAAGACTAATTAATTAAAGACCATTTTGAATAAGTATTTTGTGCACAAAAAGAAAAATACACTAAAGTTCTGCACTTTATACTGTATTTTTAAAAAATGATCTTTAAAGGGGGGAGGGTGAAAATTTGGCTGAGGAAGAGGACTCAAAAAACAAACAAATAATAATGCAGTCCATACAATATACTGCAGTAACAGAGACATTTGGGCAATCATATAATTGATGTCTTATACGATTTTTATCTCCTAGATGCAAGAGAGGCAGGATGGGGTGTTTTGACATGTCATATTTTGTTCAATAGCAAATATCTTTGTGATTATTGTCTGCTTATTGGAGTCATTTTAAAGCATTGGAGTCATTTTAAAGCAGCGTCCTGAACCTGCTATCCATCACAGTTGGCTGATGATCATAGGTTTTGATTGGGGCACAGTGGCTCAGTAGTTAAAGATATTGACTTTGTCAGCTGGAGAGCTAGCAGGGTTTGAGCTCTGCGTTAATGGAGTGAGTTCCCATTCCTTGCCCCAGCTCCTGCCCACCCAGCAGTTCAAAAACATGTAAATTGCGAGTAGATGAATAGGATGCCACTTCAGTGAGAAGGTAAAAGCATTCTGTGTATCTTTGGAGTATAAGCATGCTGGCCACATGACTACGGAAATTGTCTTAGTGCATTAGCTCCCTCGGTCAAGAAAGAGATAAGCATCATGCCCCAGAGTCAGAAATGACTGATAGAGACATCTTTACCTTTATGATAGATTTTGAGCTATTGCACATTTGGAATTGGGGAGTTTTATTCTACAAAAAAAGATTATAAAATACATTTCACACAAATATGGAAACTGTAATTTCACTCATCAAAGGGGGTATTTTCTGCCTGTTGAAAGGATTTCTCCAAATTGCAATTCAACTTCCCTTTTCCATCTCTATCTGAATACAGGAATATATACAGTCCACCTTCTCTGAAATTCTGAGAATAGAGACACAGATATTATATTGTGTCATGCCACCGTACAGGGCAATTTCTTTAATTTTACCTAATATATAGCATATCCTATGTGGTGTTACTCTGACCATTAGGATGTTTCCTTCTCCATACTATTTTCTCACATTCTTCCTCCCCTCCCCCCCCAAATATTTGTGTTTTATCCAGGACTTCCAGCTTTCATCTTTTTAAAAAGTTGCATGCTTATAAATCTACATTTGAATGTCCCGTTCATTCTATGATTCCTCGTTAATTCCCCATGGCGTGTGCAAAGTAAGAATAAAGGGAAAGGTTCAGTGGTGATATTCAGCAGTTTCTGACCAGTTCTGGAGAACCGGTAGCAGAAATTTTGAGTAGTTCGGAGAACCGGCAAATACCACCTCTGACTGGAGATTTTACAGTATCCTTCCCCTGCCACGCCCACAGAACCAGTAGTAAAAATATTGAATCCCACCACTGGAAAGGTTCCCCTCGCACATACGTACTAGTCGTTTCCGGCTCTAGGGGGCGGTACTCCTCTCCATTACAAAGCCGAAGAGCCAACGCTGTCCAAAGATGTCTCCGTGGTCATGTAGCCGAAGGCACACGGAACACTGTTACCTCCCCAGCAAAGCGGTCCCTTTCGAACTGCTAGTTTGGCAGAAGCTGGCGCAAGTAACGGGAGCTCACTCTTTTCTGATCGACAAGCTCAGCGTCTTAGCCACTGAGCCCTAAATCCTAACTTCAATGGAGGCTCAATGCTCAAATAATGCAGTAAATATTCTACCTCAATATCCTCCATAATTGGTATTCATGCATCCTTGGTTCCAAATCTTACAGAACACAATGATTCGTTGATTTTATTTGCAGTGACTTTATTTTCTAATGTTGCATGATGATAGCTTTAAATGAACATATCTACTACACCTGATCTTTAGATATTAAATTTACATTATTGAAAATATACTAAACACATTTTGTTAGTTTCTTTCGTTCATAGTACAAACGAGCATATTCCAACTTCAACAATCACTGTAAGTGAATGCTAGTCAGAATATAGGTAGTCCCCAACTTACAACTGGTCACTTAGTGACTGCTTAAAGTTATGATGAACACCCCCCCCCCAAAAAAAACCCCAGGTATTTACAACCTGTATTTGAAGTTCTAATAGTGGCCACTACTTTTATGATCACATGATCACATTTTAGGTGCTTGGCAACCAGCTTGCATTTACAGCTGTTCTGAGATCATGTGTCCATGATTTACATTTTTGGCCAGTATTTACTTCTGGCAAAAAAAAAAAAACCATTGCAGACAATGGGTTGGCCAAACAACCATTATGATTGCTTAACGACTGAAGGTTTGTTTTAATGACTGCTCCAAAAAATGTCATGAAATTAGGTCAGTCACATGAGGACCTGCTTAACGACCACAACAACTTATGACTGCAATTCTAGGCTCAATCATGGTCATTAGTTGACTGTCTGTACACAATGATATGAAATATGTTAAAAAAGATGTATC